TCGTAAACGACAATAACCAGTTGGAAAGTATGTATACATTTCTAAAGCTAAAGCTAAATATCGAAAAAGTGCGCAGAAATAGTGGAAACTGGCAAAGAAACTATGAGAGAATTAAGATGCGAAAACGGGTTGAAGATTTCTTGTTATTTTCGCTTAGCGATTGGTGTCCGCGGTTCAGGTATCGAGAGTGAAGCTGATAATTTATATACGTAGAGAGGAGCTGTGGATGGTTAGATTTTTGAGGATGAATCGAACTGACACAATGTAGCAAAGCTGGAACCCGATGGGTTGAAAAGGACAGCCGCTCCGTTGCAGGCGGGAATTCCATCGGTTGTAACGTTAGAAAAATCTGTGCCTTTTTGGCGTGTTTTGCGTCAAGAAACCTGAAATTTCATGTTGTTTTCAGTTAGAATAAACAGTACGATGCCCAACACAGATATTATTTTCATCACTCGTTTTAAGGTTATATGTTATAGTCGTGTTAATGTGAAGGTTCTCTCACGTGTGCTCGCAAGCCATTTCATTACTTGCGCAAATTTGTGTTGAAATTCGGGTTGCAAAGCACTTCGCCAGTTTTTCGCCGGTAGTTCGGATACCGCGAAATTGGCGTAGTACGCTTTTGCAGTGGATATGCGGCAATTGCCGGAAGTTTGGTTGGAGCGATAGAACTTACTAATTACCCATGTTGTCAACCACTTATAACAAGACTTTCGACAAGGACCGTTTTCGGCAAGGTTGTGCCGTAGACAGAACTTTCGCCGTAACCGGGGCTTAAACTTCGGCAATTTGCCGAAAGTTCAGTTTTACTCGAAGGTGAGTTTTAATCCACGACATAGCTTTTGGCAGTTGTCGATAGTCCGCTGCGAAGGTGCACGACGACGAATTTCGCGCTGCACGGGATCTCGCCGGTTCTGCCCCGGATTCGTTAAGTTCAAGTGTTCAAGTATAACGTGTAAAATTGAGGGTGAACACGTGAGGCTGAAGGTGAAGAAGTTCTTCACCCACAGGAGCTTCACTTCTTCACCCTCACTCGCCGCGATGTCATATATGTTAAAGTGTTAAATTGTTAACGCTAAAGTGTTAAAACTTTAACATCGAATCCAAGGCAATGGCGAATTCCGGATGTTATGACCTCATGTCATTGCAAAATGAACAACTTGAAAAAACTGTGTTTTTCGATAAAAATTCACAAGGTTTCCCTTTGCCCAACAGGTTCGTTGAGACGTTTGTTCCTCGAAAACTACACGTTTTATACACTGTTCGACCCAGTCTAGTGCGCTGATTTCAGACATGACTCTTTTTTTGCATATATTTCTGAACTGAGAAAACGGAAGCCGCTTGACAAACCAAGGATTTCTAGAAAACTTGTAACTAAGTGTCGCAATATTTATCATAAGTTATACTATCTGTGCTGATGCAGGCCATATTGAAGAACATTCTCGAAAAATCTGAGCGCATTTCGACTGGTGCCAACAGGCGCCATCTTAGTGACTAGTAACGCATAACTCATTTCGTTACTTCGTTATATTTGTTACTCCTTCAGAAAGTAACTTTCGAGGGTAATATACTCTTTCGAAGTATATTACCCCCTATGTGAAACATCGAAACTCAATTTTCATTTTTTCAAGGCAAAAGCGACGTTGAAATACAAGAAGAAATGGCGGCAGCGACAAAACTTCAAGTAATTGCTGAAAGTTAATGAAATGTCCGATCCTGTCATAATCACAATTTCTTCTTTTTATCCAGTCAACGTATCGTGGCTACCGAACGCGAAAAGAATTAGAGACTCAACGTAGTATAAGTGGAACTCCACAGCAAGTAAGAGCTCTGAAAGAATACGTGCGCGTTTCAATACTGTGTTTTCGTGTTCTTTTTAATCCAAGGGTAAAAGGACATCAAGTGAGGATGCTAAAACAATTGAAAATAAATCCAGCTTCACTCTAACCAATGATAAGCCACAAGAGAGTAAATCCTTGATTGAAACTGGTGCAGATCAAATTAAATCAGTTCTTGCTCCATTAGGTGATTTGTTTGGTAAGTTGCGAGGTTCGACTGAGGAAAGCCCTTACGACACGGTAACTACATTACTCCGACAACAACATCCAAACGTTGTGTTGCCATCTGAACACGTTTACGAGAATACAAGTGAAAAAAGCGAAAAGGATGACAATCTTCCTCATTCTATTCCAAACGATGACTTGCAATCTTACGAGACAGTGGCTACATTGCCCCAACATAGAGTCGATGGAATTCCAAATGGTGATGTGGGCAAGGATCATGAATACACAACGTCGGACTCATACAAAACCGTAGACGCATGGCAACAACATCCTGGTATCAAACTTGAAATAGAAAAACAGCATGAAGTTACTAATTCTGTTCCAATTGCTGAACAATCACTGCCTACGGAAAATGTGCGTGGTACAACGAACACTGGCAGCGATATGGTACGAATATGAATCTATTGCTCAGGACGAATCGATTAAAGATTCAATTTCCTATTTCTAGAAACAACAAGAAGTTCTTTCTGATTCTGTTAAGTTTCTAAACAGTAAATTTGAAGAGAATCAAGAAGATGTTAATACCAACGGTAGTATGATGCATCTTTTCTTTCTCAAACTAAATCACTGTTTTGTTTATATGAATTAACATCAGCACGTCAGCAGAAAATTGTTGAACAACCGTGGGAATCTGAGAAAAGTCCACCAGGTGTGACAGAATCGAAAGCTGTTGAAAGTACCAGCATCACTACTGAAAAGATTGAATTACCTTCCACACAAACAGAAGTTGCCACTGGTGATAGACACCATGAAGAGGATACCATTGCAAAACCACAGGCCGATGTCGCCAAG